TGGGCACCTGCCCACAGGGGGAACGCTGGGGCTGTCATGGCTCAGCCCGGAGCAGTAGCTAGGGGGGAGGCCGACACGCACAGGCTGAGCCCAAGAAGCGCTAAACCAAGTTGTTTAAAAAAAAAGTCCAAGGTTTATTAAAAGTTACATCCGGTTGTGGCACGAGCCAGCCCCACCCCTCACGGCCCCAGAGGGGAGGCAGGCCTGGCCAGTACAAAAGGCAGCCGGATACTGCAGAGAATGTGGGCACCAGTGGGGCAGGACAGCAAGTGGCCAGGGCAGGAAGGCAGGTGCCTGGGCAGGTACCAAGTTGTTTAAAAAAAAAGTCCAAGGTTTATTAAAAGTTACATCCGGTTGTGGCACGAGCCAGCCCCACCCCTCACGGCCCCAGAGGGGAGGCAGGCCTGGCCAGTACAAAAGGCAGCCGGATACTGCAGAGAATGTGGGCACCAGTGGGGCAGGACAGCAAGTGGCCAGGGCAGGAAGGCAGGTGCCTGGGCAGGTCACCAGCTGACTGGCCGGCAGGCAGCAGACCGACTGATTCGGGTCCAGCGCCTTGGCCTTCGACAAGCACCACACAGCGCTGGCCAGCCCATGGGGCTAGGAATCCCAAGTGGAGAGGCCTGGCTTGTCCGGGGCAGGCCACTGGCTTACGCGCCAAGGCACCTGCAGTGTAGTAAGGCTTCCGGGCACAAGGTGGTTTGCAAATGTCTGGGGGAGAGAAGCATCAGCCCCGGGCAGCTGGGCTAGGCCAGCAAGACGGAGCACGAGCTGGGCACGTTCCCTCGCCAGGCAATGTTGCAGGCGCACGCGAAGGGACCCCGGCCAGCGAGTCTGCGCCCCGAGGCTCCTGCCCACCAGCTGCCCTGGGACAAGCAGAGTCGTGGCCTCCGGCCCCCAGCCCCCCCCTACTTCTCCCGGCCAATATCTGTCCTGCAGGTAGTCGTAGTCCTGGTCCTGGTCGGAGGCGGAGGAGTTGAGGGAGCTGAGCGAGCCCCCCCCGGAGCCGCTGCCCTCGTAGTCGAACACCAGCAGGGAGTCGTAGGGCGGGGCTGTGGGGTCCGTGTCGGCCGCCTTCAGGTTCTGGGGTGGGGAAGAGGGTTGGTAACCAGTGACCCCCATCTGGTGGAGACCGGGGCTGAGCAGGGCACCCACTGGGGTCAGGAGGCCCAAGCAGAGGGCAGGGAGCCCGCGCCCCCCCCGGAGCCGCTGCCCTCGTAGTCGAACACCAGCAGGGAGTCGTAGGGCGGGGCTGTGGGGTCCGTGTCGGCCGCCTTCAGGTTCTGGGGTGGGGAAGAGGGTTGGTAACCAGTGACCCCCATCTGGTGGAGACCGGGGCTGAGCAGGGCACCCACTGGGGTCAGGAGGCCCAAGCAGAGGGCAGGGAGCCCGCAGGAGTGTCCCTGCCCTGCACCCCCTCCAGGCTCTTCCCTCCACCACCAGCAGCAGGGAGACCCTGACCAGCACCCAGAGCAGCGCCACCCTGGGGAACGCTGGAGACAGGCCCCGAGCTCCCACCCAGGCAGCGGGGGCTGCAGTTGCTATGACCAAACAGGGGGCGCTTGCCACACCAAGCCGCCCTCCCTGGCAGCACCACCTGCCAACCCCCCTTCCCATAGCAGCACCCGCACCCCCCCATCCAGGGTGGAGCCTGCCCAGGCCCGAGCCCGCCAGGCCACGTGCCCGGGCAGAAAAGAAGCCCTGGGATCCTGGCTAACAGGCACCCTGGGCCTTTGCCTGGGGCTCCTGGAGGCTGCTGGGGCAGCGCCAGAGAGGAAGGGGATGCGCCACTCAGCCCAGGCAGCGGCGTTCTGGAGCATGCAACACGCTCTGGGGCATTCGGCCAACGTAGGCGCCCCCATGCAGCCGGGCCCCTCCCCGTCCCGGGCCCAGACAGCTGCATGTGCCACCCGCAGTGACCGACAGGCCGAGAACCCTGCTCCGCACAGCTCCCCATAGTCAGGCCCTTCAGCAGTGGGGCAGAGCCGGTGGCGTATTGCCCAGGGTGTAAACGCACCCGGCCCAAGTGGGGCCAGCCCAAGTTCCGAGCCGGCTCCCACGTGTTCAGTGCCACCCCGGTCTCACCTCGGCGATGAAGGAGGCCGGTACTGCGGGGCGGGCAGGAGTGTCGGCACCACGTCGTTGCGGAGGACGACTTCAGGGCGCGCATCCAGGCCGCGGTGCAGCTGGCTGAGGTCATAGTCCTTCGGGAGATGCACAGAAAGCAGGGAATCATGACCAAGGGGGAGACGCCGGAATATCCTATTGCCACGGTACCGCCACCTCCTCTCCCAGGAGATATTGGCATTGGAGCGAAAGGGCAACAAAAACGACGAGGGGTTTGGAACAACTGCCAGATGAAGTGAGACTGGAGAGACAGACACTGGGACTTTCCAGCTCAGGAAAGAGGAGACTAGGGAGGGGTGGGGATATGACAGAGGTCTATAAAAATCTCAGCCAGTATGGAGAAAGTGAGTAAATTTACTTGTTCCCGTAACAGAAGAACTAAGGGTCACCAAATGGAACAGGTAGCAGGTTTAAGACAAACCAAAGGAAGTTTTTCCTTCATGCAGTGCACTATCAACCTGTGGAACTCCTCGCCAGAGGATGTCGAGACCACCAGGACTTTAACAGGATTAAAAAAGAACTAGAGGAATAAGCAGCGGTTGGGTCCATCAATGACTGTTAGGAAGGGTGTTCCTAGCCTCTGTCAGAAGCCGGGAATGGATCACTGGGGATGGGACACTTGGTTCCCTGGGTGGTCCACTCCCTCTAGGGCACCTGGCATCGGGCAGTGTTGGCTGACAGAACACTGGGCAGTACAGACCCGGGTCTGACCCTGCCCGGCCGTTCTTATGCACAGGGTCAGGGCCCTCTGCAGCAGTCTGGCTGGTCCTGAACCCAGCTGTCTACTTGCCCGCCCTCAGCCATCCTGCGGCCGGGCACCAACACTGCCCCACAAGCACCCCCAGCTGCCCACGCCTGCCCCAGGGTGGGAGTAACCAGCCCTGTCCATGCACTGGAGTCTAAATGAAGACAGCAAAGCAAAAGCCTCAGAGCTCCACCCACCTGGTCTTCCTCGCCGCCGCCCTCCTCGCCGTAGTAGAAGACGTTGTCCCGGGTGTCGTCCTCCGGCAGCAGCAAGGGCTCCTTCACCACCTTCCTCCGCCGCACGAGCAGCAGCAGCAGCAGGAGCAGGACTAGGGAGACACGACAGGCTGAGGAGCGCTGGGCAGCCTGCTCCCCAGCACCCCACCCCTCGGGCCTGAGCGGCTCCCCTGGGCACTGCAGCTGGCTTGCCCCTCCAGCCAGGCCTCCACGGGCCCCTGGCAGTCGCACACGTGGGCCTCCAGAACCGTCAGCTGGTCCTTGTTCTGGTTGTCGAAGAGCC